TTTCTGTTGTGGATAAGCCACCAGTCAATGGTGCTCTTGTTGTAGCAGCCTGAATGGACTAAGACGAGGACAAACTCTAATGCCCACGTCCATCCAGCACCATGAACAAGACGCTGGCAGGAAAGCTGAAACTGCAAGTGTAACCATGGCCATGCCTGCTTCTGGAAGTGAGGCCCTGATCATAAGCAATGGGGGTGGGAAATGAGCAAGGGAGAATGGAATCCTGCCCTCTAAGAATACGAGGTCCAAGAACAACCAGCCAGATTATGCCTTCATCTTTGGTTAGGAGGGGGTGGGGAAGTCATAGCCCATAGTCAAAGGACAACAGTGAAAGCAAGGACAAAAGTCTCTTCCTCTCCATGGGCAAAGACACAAGCCTAAGGACAGAAGCAGACACTCTTCCTGCCCTCCCCATACAAATGCCACATGTGGTATAAGTTGAAAAGTAACAGCTCCTGCCATCTCCAGTCCTGCTCCCTAGAGGTAGCTGCCATTACCATTTTCTCACGAATTCATTCATTCAACACATGTATATTGAACGTCTATTATATGCCAGATATCATTTTGGGACACACTAATGTACAAAGCAGGGAAAGGAAGAAAAAAAGGCTTGCCCCACGAAGCTTACATTCTAGAACATCTTTCAGAAATGCTCTATGCACATGCAAATATGTGGCTCTTTTAAATATCTTTTTAAAAACAGAGTGAGCCAAATATTCTCAATGGTTATATTAGATACGTTTTTATTGGTCAGTGACTGAGCAATTGATCAGTCCCTGATTATCTTAGATCCCTGAGTTTTCACCTTAACAAACATACCACAATGTTAAAGCAAAGTCCAGTCTCCTGCCCTTTGGAAAGTTATAGCTTGATATTATGAGTCCTATAAAAAGACTTGGAGAGCTTATTTCAGAGCTTCCAGCATTTTTGAGGGCCATAAATGTATTTCAACAGTGTTATCACTGCCTAAAATATCTTTGAAATTCTTTTGAGATTGCCTTTGGAGTCAATTTATGTGTGATACTCCCCCCAAAAATTCCTTATTTACTTATTACAACAAATAGTACTAGCCTTGACCACAAAAGATCTTTCTCAAATGTCAAACGTGGGCCTCATCAGCAGAGGGGACAGCTTCAAAGGTCCCCCCTGTTTGTCCCATGTGTGACCTGTGCTAATGTGCTGGAAAGATAAGTCTGTTGATCCTGTTGGGCAAATGCAAGCCAGGAAGGTCAAACCACTGTAAAAAGCTGTTCAGATTAAATTCAATGGAAAAAAAATAGGTCAATGGTTTTCAAACTTTTTTTTAACAGTGCAATCCTTTCTTTGGATAAAATCTTACTCAGAAGCCCAACATGCAAAACAAAGAAATGCAAAACCATTCTGGAACAATGTGCAGAGTCGGGTAAAACCCCAACCTCTTGAACACCTTGCACACACACACCCTCTTTCTGGTGACCCTGAAGAGCCTCGAGGACCCCCCAGAGCAGGGTTTAAGCACCACTGGACTATACATTCTTCTGGGGCAGTGGTTATCTTAACTTCCAAGATACCTGACCCATAGCAGCCGGTTAATAAAGGTTTTCCAAACAAGGGAGGGAATCAGGCAGTAAATGGAGTTAGGATTGGGGCAGTGGTCTCTCTAAGGAGCTCAGCTTTTGAAGAAGCCTACTAAAGATAAACGGAGGGCCAATGACCGTAGACAATTACCAAACAGTGGTTCATATCTGCAAGGACGGTTTCCTGAAGGCTGAAATCTAGAACCAGCAGAAGTCTGCTGAAAGAAACTGACGGGCGTGCTCCGCACTTTGAATGAATACCGTGAACGAGTGGGAGGTAGCCCATGGCCTGGGGGGACAGGCTAATGATGAGGAAAGTAGCACACGTGTATTAAACAGGTATTTGTGGGAATTACAGCCAAGGCATGAGAACATGACGCGGGTGTTCGACGGCTGGGAAACTGAACAGCTTCTTCATTGTGCTGTGCCTCAGTTTCCACAACTGTAAAAGGAACGTACCACAGACTTTAAAGCCAGCTGTGAAGAGCAGGCTTGACAGCCCGTGCACTGCTACCCAAGTGTCCTGCACACTGGCTGATGACCCAGCCCTTGGCTCCACCTGCTGCAGCTTCTCCCATCCGAGGTTTTAGACCATTTGCAGGGACTCGCCCCTTCCACTTTTCTCCCTCTTTTCTCCCTCTCATAACCTCACTTCTTGGCAAAGAAGAAGTAGGAACATGCTGCAATGCAAAATTCTCAAGTGCTGCCCTAAATTAGAGCATGACTTAAAATTCTCCACAGCGTGCAGTAAAGCTCCTAATAAAATGTTCAGTGTGGTTCCTCTCCAAAAGCACATTCACTACCCACAGTTGACAATATTCTCACATCTCGAAATTGGGGCACGCAGTTTTAAAAACAAGATGGGACATTTACAAAGACTTGGGGCATCCTGGGGCACATGGTTGCAGTCCCCACACTAGTCTCCGGTTCCCAAAGCAAGTGTCAGAATTTCAACATTCTTCTGCTCAGCTGTATGAAGCAGCCCCTAACTAATTTCATGATCCTGTGCGTGGGCTGATACAATCTGATTCCTGACTTTCTGATGAGGAAGCCAAGGAGAGACCCAGTCCCAGGAAAAGGTGGACGCCTGTATGGAGCCATTGAAAGTTACTATTCCTTCTGCAGCTACTTCCAACCTTGCTGCTGGGGGGCTGTTTTAGGCACTAGGGTTGAAATTCTCCAGATAGTAAATACTGTTTCCAGAAAGGTTTTCCTCCCAAAATTCATCTCAGTAAGACCTTTTTTAATTACTTAGAAAGTGAGCACCAGAGTTAATACCCTTGCTCCCAGGTAGTGGTGATCACTGTGTGCTACCCATGTGAAGGGCGGGAGGGGTCCTGTCACTTTGTGGTAAACGTGTAGTGAGGAAAGAAAGGGACTCTCCTCTCCAGACTCAGCACTGTGTGGACAGCTGGGAATATCAAGGTGTGGGAAGAATTCACATCCATATTTAGAAGAGACATCCTCCGTCCTCCCTTTCTGCAGCGTACAAACCTGGAGGAGAGGGTGCTGGCACAGAGAAGGACAACAAGCTCCTCCCATCTCGGACACAAGGTCCCCATGCACTGCTTTGCACCACAAGCATCTGAGAAACATTCAACAGAAAATGAAGAAAAATCCCTCGATGGACAAGCCTCACTCTCTGGCTCGCAAGGGTTGAAAGCCATCTAGACAGTTCTGGGTAAAAGGAGGCCCTTCACGAGGTCTGCACCTTCAGAAGCCTTACTTTGGATATGGCAAGACATCTGTTAGGCCAGGGACCCCCTCTCCCCCACACACAACCTTCTAGACCATGTCCCGGGTACCCTAGACCCAAAATTTCCTGCCCATCTGGTCCTGAGATTGCTTCCAGAGCCTGTGCAGACCCCTTCCATCATCCATCCACCTAAGCCCCGGTGCACAGAGCTGGACCTGTGGCCCCACGAGTCTGGACGCAGGCACACCCCAGAGCTGGAGGTGGGAAGGGGCAAGTGAGCTGCTGGCCAGGGCCCAGCTCTCCAGCACAGATTCCATCACTTATTCCTGCTTTCCAGGCCATCCTGAAGGTGTATTTGTCAAGGAGGGAGAACACACATTCCTTTTTAGACACCTTATAAAATATGTGCTGGTTATTCATTCACGCTCAGCTCAGGGCCAACAGCACTATCATACGTGCCCAAGGGAAGTCTGTCTACACACGGTCTTTCTGCACTTAAGACAGCATTCTCGTCCTATAGGTGGGGGCCATTCTAAACAGTGAGAGTCCCCACAGAAAGCACAAAAATGCGGAAAATATGGCAGTAAATAGACTGCTGAAAGGACAGTTGTTCACAGTGCAAGAGCTGAAGCGAAGTTCCCTGTGGGAACATGTGCATCAGGGGACTGGTTTCTGCTACTTGGTGCATGTCCCCAGATGACTGCAGAAACACCTAGAGCGTTGATGTGGGGGTTACAAACACATTTTACCAAGGAGACACATTTACAAATGTGGAATCCAGGAATGACTGACGAGGATGACTGTGTTTGACTTTAGTCGATGGCGTGAGGACCCCACTGACACTCTTGCCCTGGTTCAGAAATGTTCAGGGTGGGCCCGCACACAGGAAACATACTCTCCCATAAATGGATTCTAACTACAGCCTGGCGGAGGAAAAGCATCTGTCCATGACAGATGCTGTAAAGTTGTGAGGCTGCAAAGAAAGACGACACGACAGAACTCTCATCTGGGAAGGAGCAGAGGAGACTCCCCGGTGGGGCACGTGGACAGCCCGACCTTGACTTAGGCAAAGCAAAGGCCACGTAGGTGACCACTAATGTACTTGGAAAGATCAGGAGGACCATCTCCATCCCCTTGATGGCTCCATGCTCCCAGTCCCTTCTCTCCTTCTCACCACTGGGGCCCTTCCTCTTCCCAAAACCACAGGAGAAATTTGGTTTCCCAGCTCACTCAGTGCCCCCCCGCCCCACAGCCCAGCAAAACCAACCATCTGCCCAAAATATAACGACCGCCACCACTGTGGAGCACTCCCAGGGGCCAAGCAACATGCCATGGTATAATAAGGAATAAATTTGGTCTTTGTCCCTGGTTCCTGGCACAGAGCCCCCAAAACCTTGGAATTTCCAGAGTGACAGCAGTGTCTTTTGTTATTCATAACGGAGCATCTTTTGATGGTGCTCATGAGGCAGGGCCCTAGACAGCCTCAGGATGGGGCCTGTTACCAGAAAGACAGTGATTAGAGGGTTGAAACCTTCAGCCCCATCCAGGGACCTCCAATAAGCGGGGAGAGGTGGAGGTTAAGCTGTATGAAAACTCTTGAACAGTGAGATCCCACGCACTTCAGGGTTGGCCAGCACATGGAGGCGCTGGCAGGGCAGGGTGTCCAAGAGGGGGTGGGACCCCCGTGCCCCCCACCACCACACTTGCCCTATACCCTTCCTTTTTTTTTTTTTTTTAAATTTGACAGCTGGCTGGTACAGGAGTCGAACCCGAGCCTTGGTGTTATCAGCACCATGCTCTAACCAACTGAGCTAACCCACCAGCCCTGCATCCCTTCCGTTTGGCTGTTCCTAAGTTGCATCCTTTCGAATAAACTGGTAAAAATAAGCAATGTGTTTCTCTGAGTTCTGTGAGCCATTATAGCAAATTATCAAACCTGAGGCTGTGGGAACCCCCAGCGTGTAGCCAAGTTGGGCAGAAGTCTGGGTACCGTGGGGACCTACTACTTGCAATTGGCATCTGAAGTCAGGGACAGTCTTGTGAGACTGAACCCTTAACCTGTGAAGTCTTCCCTAACTCTGGGTAGTGTCAGAATTGAGATAAATTGCAGGATTTAAAGAGGGTAAGCAGCTTGCCTGGGGCTGAGCAGCTAGGGGATCCAGGCTGTAAACAGTATGCATTGATGAATTCCGATCTTATCTAGGCCTCAGCTGCACTAACCCCTGATCAGTATTGCCCTCCTGGGCTGCTCTTCCAAACCTTCAAGAAACTCTGGGTCCCCCACCAACCACTCCCTTCCTAAACAGAGCCCCTCATTTCCTGTTCCAACAGCAGAGACTAGGAGGCAGGCACTGCTTTTCCTATACCTCCAACCTCATGATTTATCTAAGCTACACCAGGAATAAAGTAAAATCAACTGCTGTTTATTAATCACCAGAACTTAAGTTTGCCTTAATATCCTTGTGAAGAACTCCACAGGGATGCATCTTTGTCTGCATTTTACAAGTGAGGAAACTATAGCTTCACAGTGTGTGCTATGACTTGCCAGTACAAGTTCCCACATTATTTTTTTCTTTTTCAAAAACTTTTGACCAATCTTAACCATTTAATTTACCAGATAAATTTTAGCGACATAGAATGAGTTTGCCACTTTCCAAGAAAAAAAAAAATCACTAGAAGTTTGATTCAAACTGCATTCAATTTATAAATTATTTAGGGGGATTTGTATGTTTGCTATAGGCCTTTCCTCCTGGGTCAGGGGTGAGCCCAGACTAGGATGGGCATGGCAGCCAGGACCGGGTGAGGTTGTGGAGGGGCAGGTCCGAGGACAGGGGCATACGTGTGGGGGACACCAGGCGAAAGAGGTGTAGCACCACTGCCCCCAGGAGAGCTTTGGACCTCAACACAAAGAGGTTATAAAAAGAAGGCTAAATCCAAGGGCAGGGAATGGAAATAGAGAGGAGATCAGAGCTGTCAAAGGCGACAGAACCTAGAATGATGTCCTCTTATAGGAGGGGAATGTGGGTGGAGATGGGGTCACCACAAGTAGGTCACTGCACGTGGCCTGACCAGCTTCGTCACCACCTTCTACCTGATTTTATGACAAAGCGATCCGGTAGTCCGAGTGGACTCCACAGCACCGATTGTTCCTCTTTCCAAGACACCAGATCCCAGAATTGGCCATGGTCTCGTCCAGAGTCCAGCATCCCTATTCACTCTGGTTGCCCGCCCCTGGCCATGAAAACTGGGGTCTCTGAGTCAGAAGGAAGGTACAGGGAGTGGTAAGAGATGGGGCAGACTTGAACGGAGGGAAGCCCCTGGGGCCGAAGGCCAGTAGGTCACCAGCTCCATCTCCATGCAGACCTACGCTGCCCGTCCCAGCTTCTGGGAGGAGTGGGAGGGAGATGCCCTGACATGCAGACTGATGCTATCGTCCACTCAGGTGGCCACCAGGTGCTAGTGCTGGTCAGTGAGGTGCTCCTGAGGGCAGTTAGGTACTTACAGTCTGCAGACACTGGCCTCCCAAATTCCAGTCCCCCGACCACTCCCTCGACACTCACCTCATTCTCTCTGACAAAGATCCAGAATCAGAGGATGCTCACAGGAGCTCTGAAGGACAAACCAGGATCCAGCCCCACACTCCCACCTCATCTGCTTCCCATCTATCTGGCCCATTCCTGCTGAAAGGTGAGCCCTCCCTTACCCAGGACTAGAGTCAGGCGAAAGCGATCTGCCCAACCAGCCTTTCGGGGTAGAAAAGAGCAGCACAGAGCAGCCTAGACAGGGCCTAGAGCCAGGGAGTGATGGGTCCAGGCCAGCTCCATTTACAGTCCTTCACCCCTCCCAGGAGAACCCACACCCCAGCCCAGTGGTACACAGTCTAGGACTGAATCAATGCTCCCCTGAGGGGATGGAGTGAGAGAGGGGGTGAGTGGGGTTAGAGGTTAGCTGGACACTGAGGATCCCCCTGCCCCTTAAACAACCAGCCAAACAGGGAGGAAATCAACAGGTGCACTAAAAACCCCACCTGAACATTTTGTGAGGTTACTTCTCTCTTATCAAAGATTGCTTTTCTTTACAAAAAACAAAAACTAAAAAAACATTAAAAAACACAAACAAGAGGGCTTTTAAGATGGCGACAGGTCTGGAGCGGCCGTGCCAGGAGACAGC